AAATGATTCTTAGACGAGCTTCGGGCTTCAAAAGGTTGATGGAATTAAATTTAGAATGGGAGGTATTTGAAGCAGTCCCATAGATTTTTCGCGGTGTCAGCGGAGACAGGACGGACAAAGGCATGTGCGGAAATGTTGGAAGGCGTGTATTGAAAAGTTCCGGGTTCGGCAAATGCGTGATTGTTCACATTTGCTGTTGGGCGCACAAGCAAACGGGCGTTGGACAGAAAGCCATTCTTTTGGGTCCATAAGTGGCTTTTTGTTCCAGAACCGCGGGGCTGTCGGAAACCGGGAGTAACCGACAGCATTCCTGAACAGCAGATCCTTCCTAGATCTTGACGCTTACAAACGTCAGGCAGCGAAGTTCCCTCTTCTCCTGTTCGGTGTACACAACTCAAGATCTCGCTCGACGCTTGCTAACATCTGCAGTTGATAACCTTTGGTGTCGTAACAACACAAGGTGAACTGTTTTAGTCGCGAAGTTTCTCGAGGTCTCTCTCAGGCCCTGTTTTTATCCTAAGGGCAAGGAGGCATTTTCTTCTACTGACTTGCATCAACATCCCCAGACTGTAAACAGACAAGTTCAAGGCTTTGCTGCCTGAGCGCGTTGCACGTGACAGGAACGAAGGGCAAGAAGGCACTGCCTTCCAGATGAAGAAGATCGCTGCCTCGTGCAGCCGGGGAGAATCTGACAGCTGCGTCGGAGAACAGAAAAAGAAATACCTTGATGGGGCTCCCGAAATGCTGCAACTTCTCTTACGCATGCGTAATGTGTGCGGTCTAAAGTCACTGAATCCTTCTGGACCTCAGCGACTCTTCGATGAGGTGCGCTGTAAGGCCTATGCTTGAAGCGGGGACGTCGAGGTTCTTCAGCGATTGGTCTCATTCAGAATTGATTCTGAACCTTTCATCTGTTTCTTTGTTCCTTGGATGGGGGATTGGCCCAACGCAAGGTCCGTGCACGGAGCCGTGACAGGATTGAGAGGTCGCGTCAGATGGAATGGAGAAAATTTCAGACTGAGGAATGTCTTGGAGGGCAGCGGAAATGTACGATTTTGGTGCGGCATTGAGTGTGAGCGGTGCCAGAGCTTGTCAGTTGAAACTAGCTGTGTCAGTGTCGCCTCGTCAGCCAAACGTGTTTATTTGCGGAAACTGCAGTCTCACCTCGCAGTCGCTACGAAACCCGTGACAATGCATTTTTTTCATTTCGTCAACCTTTTGAAACGGAAGCTTGTCTATAAAATATTTGAGAATCCAGTCCGTACCGCGAAGAAAACACAACTCTTAGCTATCGCGGGGATGAACTGGAACACGCCGGTTGGGGGAAGAATTAGAAGAAGATCGCACGCACGCACGCACGCACGCAAAGTCTTGTGGCGTCAGGCGCATGATGCAACCGCGCCTAGCGTACTTTGTTCAGTCGCCCCATGTTACACGGTGCGTAGCTACGTCCCAGGAGACGGCCATTTTCGTGCTGGCCGCCGTGAGAATCTCAAATCTCACTCAGACGTTCCTCGCTCTTCCAACATTTCTCCTACCAGTCGGTCTATAATCTAAAAGTTCCCTTCGTTGCCTATCAGACTCCATTCTTGTTGTGTGTTCGTACCAGTTCTGTTTTTGTTGTTGAATTCTTTCGTTAAGATTAAATATTCTTAGTTCGTTTCGTATATCTCCACGTCTTTTTTCATCTAATAATATGTAACCAGCAACACTTCGTAAAAATCTCATTTCACTGGACTCAGTCTTCCGTTTATCTGCGCGGGTTGGGGACCAATTTTCACATCCATATGTTGACTGGGGCACCGCCAATAACTTTTAAAACTCGAGTTGAGTCTGCCTTAGCTTTTTGTTTTTAAGTGTTCGACGTTTTCTGAAATCTAATTATTTCTATGTTTACGTCTTCTTTGTAACAGTGGGAGACGTCACAGCCCAAATAATCAAATGATGCAACTCGCTCTATTATTCACATCGCGCGTGCTCAACTCCTTGAAAAGCCAAATTTTTAAATCGTATTCTTTCGCGAAAAGCTGAAGGTCGTATGCGGCTATCTGTAATTCATCTTCTGATTCATTAATAATGACCTGATAATCAGCAAAAAGTATAGTATTTATCACAACATCATTTATTTTTATTCTAGTCCGAAAGTTATATTTCTGTGCCACTCTTCAACGTTAATATTAATATTAACGTCAGCCAGTTCCATCCGCCACCTTCTTCCTACGTCATCCTGCATGGAGATGGGATCGGTCCACTTCGTGTAACATGTTCCGGGATCACGCCCGGCACTTGAGAGAGAGAGGGGCGGAGGGGGAGGGGGATTGCCACAAAAGCGCTCCGGGTCAGATGGCGGCGCGCACAGTAGACGAGACAGCTTTGCGCGAGGTGTGAGCCGTGCTTTCTAAGTCGTTTGTTTGTTTGTTTGTCTGTCGACATCGGCTGGAGGACAAATATTTCTGTTGTTGCTCTGAAGTGCATTTCATGTTTCGCGGACAGCCAGCCTGCGCGTCGACGTTCGTGTTATGTCAGAGTGAATATTTCGCAGGTCGTGTCTGCATAGGAAATTTTCAAGTCGCCGGCAATTTCACATCCTGAAGACTCCACGTACAACAAAAGAAGTAAGTACACACACTCACCTCCACGCCTCCGTACGTTTTATGTTTCCCGTTGACGCGGAATCACGAGGCTTGGAGTGAGTGTCCTTACGTCACTCGCAGATACAGTGGTTCGCCTTATTAGCTCAGTCGGTAAAGTGACTGACTTTCCACACCACATCGGGATACACATAGAGCAGAAGACGACGACTTCATTTATAATTAGAATTCGTGGAACGTTACTTCGACTCTGGGTGGGGCTTGGTCGCAGCAGACAGAAGTTTCGCCGTATGGTGTGGCTTGAGGCACGAGACGATTTGTCAGTCTGAGTCACACATTTTGTGTTGCAGATGAGTGACGCTGTGATCAAGGAGTCACAAGAGCAGGACCGAATGAGACAGTTCGTGCCCAGAGGTGAGCGGAGTCAGAGGTCCGGAGATAAAGGGGGTCACTACGCATTGCGGCTGTCTGTTGCTAAGGACAAAGTTTCTGTTTTATCAGACGCATAAAAAAGGGAAGATGACAGGACACGTCTTCGAATTATAACGTTCCAAGAAGCTGTTAATTTGTCTCTAAATGAGTAGGAGATAACCTTTATACAGGGCGGTGTGTGTGGATATTGGGTACATTTGAGTATCGTAGACTTGGAACGCTGGATCTGTCTGTGAGTGGAGCTGTTGCACAATGCATCGCAGAACCTGCGACGCACATGGGAACATCAGAGATGCGTACAAAAACTTGTCGGGAAACAAGAGACCATTAGGGACGGACGTGCAGATGGGAATATAATATTTAAATGTTTTTGAGAGAAGTTACATGTAGCTAAGAGTTCGACCGAAAGCCTCTGGGGTGAGGATGTCCGCTGTGTTTGATGTTACAGACGGAACGTGGCTAAATGTTTGCTGTCTCAAAATAACTGAGTCTTTGGGTGATGCTTATTGAGTCAGAGATCGCTGTTTCAGGTGTCTCTGAGAGCTGTTCTGCCCTGGATCCCATCAAGCGCCCCAGGGTCCTAGCAAGCTCGATGAGGGCCCACTTGTCGAGGAGCGCGTCCCTGGACCGGATCAGGCAGTTCCCCGCGTACTTATGTGACTGCGGCGTCTTGCCCCAAGTGCTCTCCTACGTGCAGACGTCGAGCACGGCGTTGCAAGCTGGACTGACCCTCGTCAGGGGATACCTCCTGTGTCTGGCCGTGTACTTCGGGCTGGTGGTGCTGGTGGTGGAACTTTCCGCCTGCTGCTGCGTGCTGTTGCTGGGGGCCAAGCCCTCTGGACTCATATTCATGTTGGCAAGCCTCTTTGCTATGTGTGGTATGGCCTGCAAGACCATAGCACACGACCCCTCGAATCGCACGCAGTGACAAGAAGGAGGACTTGCCCTCTGCTTTATTATTCGTAAACCCAGAACGCTTGAACTAATTATTACATTCCAGGAAAACGTCCATCCGCTGACGCGTGTCTCTCTCTCAGCAGCACTGGGCAGGCCCTGCGATCCGTGGTCCTGTCACTCCACGTGACGTCCGCTCAGTCGTGCTGATAATAGTTTATGTCAGGAACATTTGCCTTCCTGTTAAATTGGCCAAAAGAAGGATTACAGAGGCATATTCTTTGTTTTACCTGGATTTATCTGCGGAGTCACACGGTCGCTGAATGTGTTATTTTCCTTCTACATAAATAAAATGAAATTTATTCTTAGATTGATACTTCCTGTGCTGTTGCAGAATCCGTGGAATGTACTGGATAAACTCGTATCTCTACCAATTTTTAGCTTCAGATCAAAGGTACTCATCTCATCTCATCTTCAGTTCGCACTGTCGGGCTACGTGAGACGTAGACTTCTAAGAATCACGAAAAATGTCTCCGTAAGAAATTTGTGGTTGCTACCACTTATCCGTACAAACGCGTGCATAACTTTTATGAGGCGAACAGCTCTAACCTTTTCGTGAGGAGCGTAATGTGCCGAATAGGTTCAAACTCCGCCGCTGGTGTCGTTGCAGGTCCGATAGTTTCTTGAGAGCGAGCGAGTAGCAACTGTTCTGGCAGCGGATGCAAGTTTTGGTTGCTAGGCAACCAGCTTTTGTGTCGACATTGTTCCTGTCGGCCAGTAATTTGTTACGTTATTATTTAATATGCAGTAAATTCTCAATTCGTTCCAGTGCGTGAGATTTCAGGTTTTCATGGAGGCAACTGTCTTCTAGGGTGTTACGCCTTGTAGTGTAGGAGAATTTGTCGGACATTTCAGAGATCGTTTCTGCCATCGCTGCATGGTGCAACGTCCCAGAAGACGGGCGTCTCTGCGTTTAGTTTGCGAGGCTTTTGAATCTGAGGCCGTGCGTCAAACTTTGACGCACTCGTAGTTCAGTCTTCAAGATTGCCAACTCCGTTTGGAAGTAAGTCGGGTAAGTAAAGAATTCTTTCTGTCTTGCAGGATTTAATCTGAGCTCGGCCAAGACGTTGATAAATGGGAAATAAATGTCTCCGTGCACTGAACACAGCAGAGCCGGTCCGGTGTTGTTAGGCTCTCGTTTGCGGTGAGTGCGTGATTATGCATTTTGTGTAATCGGCTCTGCTGTGGTGTGAACCACGAAAGCGAGGCGGAAGACATTTGTTTCTCAAATTGTTCGGTGGCCTAACGCCGCGAACTCATTTAACTTTCATGCTCTGCCCTGCTGTTTAACGGGTATTTAAGTTTCAAAAACTGTCATTATTTTGTACAGATCGTGTGTAATAAAGTGAATTAATGTGGAGAGTGTCTACATGTCTTGATATACCAGTTCATCCCTGCAACAACAAAATCCTTTCCTGAACACCTCTGAACCTTGTGCTTCCTGATTTCGTGCCCCCACTCGGGCAGTTGTTACTCCCTGAGCTAGGAAAGAGCTTTTCTGCTCTTGTAGAATCAGACGTTCGTCGCCACGTTCACAAAAGCAGAGTGAACTGTGCTGGATAAACCCAGCCCACACGTCCATTCTCCTATTATCAGCGACTTCTCGTCTCTGCAGCAGTACGTGCATTTTTCATGACAAGACTGTACCCAGAAAAATATTTTGGTTTTCAAGGCGTTTCTACACCACAATTCTGCGCGTGTTTATTGTTTCTTTCATTCAACATTCCGTTAGAGAGTTCGTCAGCGTCGCTTCTCGTGCAGTGAGGCACCCGGTTAATTTGTTTAACGACGCTTTGTCGGCAGCATCGGCAAGACAGGGCAAGGGCCTGGATGATTATACATTGCCAATTGAGGGAGACGCGGCCACGAGGGACTTCATAATATGTATTTCCCCCCCCCCCAAATAGAAGGAAGATAAAAGCAGGGGTAATGAGACCGGCGGGGCATGTAGCACGCATGGGGGGAGATGAGAAACGCGTACAGGCTTGAAATTCTGTTCGGAAATTTAATTGGAAAGGAGATGATAGCTCTTTCGAGTGGAGTGTGTGTATTAAACTTCGTTTTTCGAAAAAGATGCCTTTACACGATGGGGGGTGAGTGCGTGTGGCGCAGCAGCGTGACGTCACAGCGGCTGTTCCTGCCAGCGGTCGCGCCCTCAGACGTAGTGTTCGTGGGCTGCAGTCGTTCGCTGCCTGTCCAGTACAGCGGCCGTACGGTGAGTGCGTGAGTGTGTAGTGAGTATGTAGTGGTGCTGTGCGCGAAACCATGCCGGTCCGGAGGGGGCATGTGGCCCCCAGAACGACCATTATAGAGACCATCATCAGGAAGTTCGACACGCACAGTAAGTTGCTATCCTTCGGATATTTAGTGTAGGTCCACTGACTTTGCGGTAAGGTGAGTCGGGGACCCGAGGAACGCGGGTTTCGAAGCCAGAAGTGCCGACGACGGAGTCCCATGTGGGGGTCGCTGTGGCTCGCTGCCAAACCCCGAACGGTCGCTCAATAAAAATACAGTGAAGCAGATGTCCGTTTCGCGTGCGCCTTTGTTCGTTTCAAGTCGCTTTCTGAACGCGTCGACTGCGATAGTAAGGACGAGAGGAGCTGACATTTTCGTTGCATTAAAGGCGGGTAATTTCTTAAGCAGATTAGTGACTGTCAGCCTTGAGATTGCTGCGCTGTGTAATTTGGTAGGAGTTCGCCGACGTTTCAGAGTAGCTTACTGCCTCTATACTCGCCGCCGTGAAAACCTGAAATGTGACTTCACCTTCTGAAGACGTTATTATTTTTCTGTTCTGTCCTGCAATGTCCGAAGTGACTGTGATCAATCGGCACGAGCCCCGCCGATTACGAAGGGAGACTGCAAAAATATTACATCGCGATAGCTGGGACGTGTTTCATGTGCGGCAAATTGAGATAATTACGCAGTTAGAAACGTTAATACGTACGCCTAATGTCGTCGTGGTGTAGTGAGATCGAGACGTCGCTTGTTGGACCGAACTCGTGAATTCCTCTCAAGTCCCTGTACGTTAAGACCTTCTATTTCATGGTCTTGTCGGCTCTGTTCTTCGCCGGGTTCGCGTCTTACGGCAACGTCTTTGAGCAGGCACTTCGAAGGTTCGTGTTTTATAATCACTGATAATATTACTTCCTTTGTTGTTAGCGTGTTTTTGTAAAACGATTTCCCCAATCAGAAAAAGCCATGTCCCACGAGGGATTCCAACTCAGGACCCAGCGTTCTGCATGGGACTATTACGTATTTACGAGACTGCATCAATTGTTGAATTTGAAGATTATTAATCGCGAGTGAGGACAAGTGTTTGCGTTCGATGCTCGAATCTATACAGTTGGACAGTAGACTGATTTGGAGACGGAGGCTGAGCCAACTCAGTCCAATCAGCACGATTTATCAGTGTCCGAATGTGATTTCTCCGCGTCTATCCCCCCAGCCCCTACATAGTTCGTGAAACCGCTCTGTCCTCTGCAACTGATATGTCGTCGTCAAACGTCCGACCCACCAATGCGGCAACTCCGCGCTGTGTTTACTTTGCTGAAACGCGTGCAGATGGCGGCACCAGATGTCTCGTTTTGTAACAAGTGAATGCACTTAGTGGTTGTCCGTGTGTGTTCCTAATAACATTGAAGACCCTGTACGAATGTCATACGAGCGCAGAAACCGAAAGCCCTTGGTTGGAGATCAGCTGGGTGTTTCCCCTCCCTCCCTCCAGGACTTCCGATTTCCAGCTACAGCAGGAGAAGATCAAAGGACGTCACATGACCGTGTTCTAGGCAACCCGCGAGTTAACCTACTTTATCAAAATATTAGGACGACGCAGCTGGGCTCTGCCCGGGTGAATTTCGTGTCCGTTTTGTGTTCGCCTGCGCCTTGCAGTTCGAGCTCATGCTTCACAGAAGTGTCGGAAAGGTTGCCTACCAGCCGCTCAGTTAGTCGGTAAATTATCTTTTTCTTTAAAAAAACCCTCAGGTTCATTACCGTGTTCACAACAGCGTACGCAGAGCGCTTGGAAGATGTCCGTACCACAAAGTGGAGGGCGCCGTTTTGTGCGTGCGTTTGCCTCGTACTGGAAGAAATGCGAACGAAGCCCCAGGAATCACACGCCAACCCAAAATCTCGCTTTCTCGCGGCTTAACCTTCCAAGAAATATCCAATTCAGAATCCACCCCATATTTTTCAGTTAGAATTCTCTGTTGAGATCACGCATTGCGAAGTTTGCCGTTATGTATTTTTCTCTATTCCGTTTTGACTGCGTATCGGCCCACTTCCTTTCTCTTTCCTCGATAGACGGATGACTAGACCAGAATTAAAATGAATTTCAGTGGCGTAGGTCGGTTACGAGGCAGCGGAAGGCTGTCCTCCGGTTACGTCTTCGGTCTCACTGCCCTGAAATACTGAAATTCTGCTGACACGATGGTAGAAACCCTGAAAGCACCAGAAGCTTCCAGACGTCCGTCATCTGTCGTCAGTTAGTGAACAGCAACATCCACAGGTTGGTCCAAGTGTCTTCTCGTGTCAACCGTTTCGGAAAACGTTCGTCATTTGGTAGCACGTGGCCCGTGCTTTGTCTCCGACGTGTTATAAATTTTCAACGCGATTAATACCGCGGTTAACAGCAACACAGGATAATGTTGTTCTTCTTGTGGTAATATGTCGCAAACAAGTCATGTGACGCGTGTTTAATCACTACATCAACTGAAAACAAAGGAAGGCAACACAGAACACCTGTGTTGTTCACCAACTCCTGGCCAGAGCTTCATTTCGTTTTTTTTCACACCCGATGACGTCACGTCCAGGTGTTCTGATAAATGGACGACGTCATCCTCGTATTCAGGGCTCATTCCTCTAGTTTAGTGGCGGTCGTACACACATGCCTGCGCAGTGTCGTTATAATAGGCCAGAACCACTTCCTTTCGAAGTTGCAGTTCGTGTTTTGGGCTACTTCACATTTCTCCATTGGCACAGTGTCGTTAAATAAGCCACGATTAAACTGACGAATATCGCGACATTGTCATTTGTTTATGCAAAGGAGCGATAAGTGAAATGAAGAATATACATAATTCACGAAGCTTTAGGTTTGTCATCGATCGTTACCGATAGCACAAAAGTAGCGAGAGAGAAATACAAAAATGTAGGCGAGAGTCGGATTGGGCGACAACGGTCAAGCTGTTCAGAAACATTACACATCCGTCGCTCGTGATTTGTCGCCTTTGGCAACTCCAACCTTGGACGTGATTTGTATAGCCATCTACCGCGCGAATTTGGAACCTCGTGTGTTATCTATAACTGTGAAATATCTTTATTTATTAATCTGTGACTACAAATGGCTGCGTCATGGCGAAGTTTGAAACGCGGGAGAAATTACGTGTTTTAAGTGTCTCGGGGAATGAGAAGAGATTAAAAATAAGATGACAGTGAAACTGTGAAGTGATATTGAATGTTGTGGATTCTCTTGTGATAGTCTGTAGAGCGCAAATCATCTTGGCTGCTTGATTATAGGTAAGACGTAAGCCGTTTGGCAATGTTGCATTCATAGTTATCTGTTGCCGCATAGTGCGAGGTTATGTACGAGGCTTGGTAGAGACATTATTGCAGGTTTTTTATGTGTATTATTAGTAACTGTAGTGTGGTGGCTGGCACTTTCTTATTCGGGAGGTCCGGGGTTCAAATCCCAGTCAGGAGACAGACTATCCAGGCCATATTCATGTTTTTTTTTTACAGTAACCCCCCCCCC